ATTAATATAAATATCATCAAATGCATTTAAAACAGCCGAATAAAGCAAAATGTGTGAAAAAAGTAAAAGTTTCGCTATTCGTATTCCGTAAATAATTGAATTGTGTGGAAAAGAAAATAATGATCCCCACAGATAAGTTCTTGATGCAAAGATAAGGACTAATCTCATCAGATATGAGAAAAAATCATTGTTCCATTAAAATAATTTGTTCTTAAAAAAATCTACCAGACAATAAAAATTCTTGAGAGCGTTAACTTAATGAACCCTGTAGTTTTTGAGATGAAAGGATATCAAATATTAAAAAGAATCATGAATAGTCTAATCTTAAACTATTGATCTTGTATAACGATACTTTAAAGGATGTGCTTGAAGCTAATTAAATGGTTTATAAGTTTTATGGCATCATTAACAGTTCCAAACAGTCTGATGTATTTTTCATTTAAAATTGAAACGAAATATTAATATTGTTGCAAACATTTATTGACATTATCTTTTCGACTTTGTCGGCTGATAGAACTTTTATTATACCTTTTAATAGCTAATGACAACTTGCTCCGCTGGGTTTACTTTTAAAATTGTTGTAAACGTTTGTTTCGTGGTCGATTCGCAATCCCAAATGCACACCAAAATGGAGAACTCTTGAAGAGTATAGGCAATTTCAAACATTGTTATGACAGTGTATGAAAATGCCTTAATTTAGTGCCAAAACCAGCTCCACCCCTAAAAATAATGGTCCTTGTACATTCATGAACATTATCGATTCTTCGGGTTTAGTTCATATTCTACCAAAGGACAATCTCAGGTATTCGAGAACATTCGGGCTGGAGATCATCCTCGAAATATTAAAAAACACTATAGTACATATATAGGTACATTCTCACATTCTAAACGGGTGTTTGGTGGTCGGTGGAGGACTCACAAACCCAGATGACAAATTAGTAAATGCTTTTGCGGCCACTAAATGAACTGATGCTGTTCTGAATCGGGTCTAAAGGCCGTCGCGTATTGTAGTTGCTTTCTAACGTTTTAATAAGTGGCAAACTTCTTCAAAGATCCTTCCATCTCCGATGCTGGGACCTGGAAACCGATTCCGGTTCTAGAACATTCTGCTCAACGACAATTCTAAACATTCTAGCTGAGAACAAGGTGAAAAACATTCAAGAGCATTCTAAACAGGTGTTTATTGGCTAGTGGTCGACTATCAAACTCACACGCCCATTGTAGGAGATTGCGAACATTTTTAAAGTATTTTGGACAAAAAATAAAATGCCCATTATTTATATATTGATTAATACTAAAAATTTATTAACAAAAGTTTTCAGCTGTCTATAAGCATTATCAGAAAATGTGTATATATAAACAATTAAAAATACGCTTTCGTAAAATTATGCGTAAGATTAATTATTCCCCATAGAACTGAAGTACATAGACTACGTTGTATTCCTTCCCAACGATTTAACCTGGTAATTGATCATTACAAACGGCCATAGCACGTGTATTACGTACATCGCGTCGAGAGGGTGTTGATGATAAAGGGAAGTAAAATGTAAATGGCTGAAAAATGATATCTATTGGTGAAATACGAAAAAGAATATTTACTGTTTTTCGGATTTATATAGTTTATGTTGTACGTGGTAATTGTAGCTTTGTATATTATTTAACTGAAAAGTAGAGCGAAGGTAGATTTTTCCCTTAGGGGGTGCGAAGTAACTGCGAGATAAAATGAGATTTGTGGGGTTCCCTATGTTGCTTAAGTAACTGTGTAGTAGTTTTTGTGAACGTGTGTACAAGTGGTGGAGTAGTATTAAACGTTAAAATCCGGGATTATCCGTATTCGTCTTACATAGTACCAATCATACCAATAATTGCTACGTTGGGTATTATTCTACATGACTACCCATCAGCTCTTATGTTTTCAGAGATTGAAAACATGGCCAGCAACCGACTGTAATCGATTTTCCGGTCCCCTGTATATGCTTTCTTCGATATCCTCTTGTTAAGAATAATCAGTTTTTAAATTTGTTTCCTTCACGTAAATTGAGAAAAGTGCAATACTCTCAAACTTTTCCGTCGCTTGTGAAAAACCGATTATGAATCGATGGAACCGGGAAATCCGTCAGAACGATGCTGCTCTCCTAATTTCAAAATAGACCACCATTGCAATTGTGATTCTTTCGACAACATGATTTAATCCACTTTAAAAAAGTTAGCCGACCGAAAAAAAATATCATCACTATAACAGGATCGTTTGTCCTAAGACGGTGTCTAGCTCTCTTCATAGATACTAAGTCAGCGACTTCCAATTTTTCCTCTCCCATTCACTGTTCATAATTTATTCAAACTTGTGAATAGTATTATTTATGTACAAAATTCGAAGTCAAACTGTTACTTTCAACTGCTCGACTAAAATGTACTTCGAGTTTTAAATTATTTATTATACTAATCATTGACGCAATTTTTGTTTTTTTTTATGTCGTCTAAAAACATGGTTCCTTAAAGTCACTCTTTATGAAAATTATTGAAATATATTATCTAATGTTTCTACTGAATTGTTCCCTCAACATAAATAACTGCAATAGAATCTGTTCTAGATATAAAGAGGAGGGAAGTGGGTTGATGAGGAGCAAAAGGTTTGATATAATCTGACCAGGGTTTAAAAGAAGACGTAATGACACTTTTGAGAAACACCATGAACTCAAATGGGAATATTCACAAAATTTGTTCCTAAAATTTTATTTTTATAATTTTTATTTCTTCACTGCTGGCGTCACTAGATCTTCTACCAAAAACGCTCCAATGAAATTCGTACTATGTATGTTGATTAGGGTTAAGTTACGTTAGTTTCTTTTGTAGTATATAGTAGTAGCTCATCAGTTCTCAATTTTTTTTTTGCTACGGAACCGTTTCTGACCCACCCGTTTTTGACGTAACCCCGTCTCTACAAAAACGTAAAGTGATGAAAGTTTTGTACCTGACTCCTTACACCTTTTTGGGTAGGTACATATTATTCAAAATGAATTTTGAATTCAAAATCATTATTGCAATTATATATTTAATGTGCACACTTTGTGTTTACAATAGCGTTAAAAATTGATTAATGTCAGACAATTAAATTCGAATATCCGGAATGATATCCAGTCTAGTTTTGAATTTGTTTTTAGTGTAAGCGTAAACTGAAAAGCTCATCTGTAATCTAAAGTCGAAATAAATAGAAACAAGAACCGTGAAAACCTTTTCAACAACTGCAGGATATCCGTCGTTAAGTTTGATCCAAAGGTCATTCAAATTTGTTTTAGGGAGGATGAATTCCTAATATCCATCATGTTCTCATACTCCGACATGATTAACATTGATGATTTAGTATAATTTTTGAGCGAATTCTGTACTCACAATCACTGGCTATCCAGTGACTGTGTGACTCCTCTAGAAAATATTCTTTCAAGGATTTTTTGAGTTTCAATAGATGTTCGTTTATGGTTAGATATAGAATAATTGCTTTTCGAAAAATTTTGTATATTTTTACTAGGACAAGAAACGGCGTATCTCGCGGAATCCATGTGACCACCAGGGTTTCGTGGAATACCATTTGGGATCCGCTGCTATCCCTTTAAAGTTCGAAGAAAACGCGTTAGTCATATGCCAGTTGTGCATTGCTACAGGTTTGGACATTTACACTCGTCCAAAGTCTGTATAAGAACTGTAAAATTTAAATTTTGATCGTAACGAGACGCCCAATGGTATAGGAGTGGTATACGGCCAATAGCTCCATGATTTAGCCGTTTATTTTTGTCCCAAATCGGTGACAGAAATGATAATAGAATGTTCAATCATCAACGAAAATGTGTATCATCTGGCACGTCTTGGTTTGCTTATGACACAATTTTCCCCTGACGTAATGAGAGAAAATTTTTTATTTTCCTTATTGTCGCGAAAAATCTTCCGTATGACAATTCGATCGAATTAACTTTTGCTTAAACAGATAATAAAAATTATTTTAATTATTAAGTAGTTATATTAAGAACACGATTGCGTTGTGAAACAGCATTTGTTGAAGTGATTTCAGACAAGATGATACGGATTTTTTCACGTATGTCTTTATGGTCGGTTCTGACTTTCAACCTATTTGTAAAATCGTATCGACCATAAACGGATTTAAAATGCCTTCACTTTCATAAAGGAAATCTAAAAAAATGTGGAAATAATGGGAGCAAACAAACCTGAGAAACGGATTCCGCATGACGACAATAATTATTCTTCTTCTTAGTTATCTACCAGGGCTGTTCAAAAAAAATTCGATATTCTAGAAAATTTTAACTACAAATTAATATTTTTACATATTTTCATATATGTATATTACTGTATGGTAAAAATGCAATTTTATAGTTTTTGGCGATGGTTTTTGAGATTTTCTTTACCCGCTTTTAGTGCAAATTACCTTTTTGTTTGTTCAGCGGTTCTATTTTTTGAGAAAGAAACAATCCTCTTTATCTATTTTCGAGTTTATTAAATTTGTACTCGTTGTAATTTTGTTTATTTAAATTGTTTTTACTTAAAAGTCGTTCTTTTTTTGTGCAAATTATTATTAGGGTAATGAGCGATTTTTGTTTGAATTGAAGTATGCCATACGTCTTTTTTGCTTTGGCAAAATTTCACGGTTGATACTTCCTATCGAAAAGGCATTTCATAAAATTGGTCACAGTTCTTTTATTATTGATAACGTGAGATAGATTTTTAATTAAACGTAAGTTGTAATGTTCTTGTCGTTAGCTGTCCCCTTCTTAATATGCCCGATCTGGCACCTTACGGGGATATTAAATAATTAGAAGGTATAAATAGAGATCTGTTCAAAAGAACTGCGAGTGCTCCTGCCCAAACAAACAACCTAAATTTAACTTTCCGGTAGGTGATAACAGTGATAACGAATATTGTTTTTTTTTCTTTTTCATTTCGCGTTTTTGTGCTTTTCTTCTGTTGGAAAACTAATGAAAACTGTGTTTCAGAAATCGGGAAGTACGACATGTTCCGCTTTATCGTCATTGCATTTTGCGCGTGTAAGTATGAAAAATATACTTGCAGTTTATGATTATGAAAAAAAATTCCCCCCAGAAATAGGATATATACTCAGTAGCCCTATTCGAAAATTAAAAAAAAATCATTAAAGTATAGGAAGGGGGTGAGGGTAAAATAGAAACCTTTTTGATAATTTTATGTATTATTAGCTAACCAAGATTTATGGAGATTTTTGTTTGTTAAACTCATATCTTTTTTGAGATACGTACAGATACATTTTCTCAATGTTTGAAATCATTTAGTTATGCTTCACTAAGCGTTAATTTCTTAATAATAATTATTTTGAATTATTCAAAAAACTTTTTAATATTGTCGCATACAGCGTGCAACACTGAAGCAACAAAAACTTACCATTAACAGTATTTCATGCATAAAGATTTTAATTTTGAAATAATTAAAAAACCAAGTTAATAACAAATGGAAACTTATACCTATATATTATGTTATTTTTTGAACTTTACATGTATCGTTCAAAAATAGATTTAATAGGTTCTTTTATGATTTTAAAATAAGGGAAAACATTAATGAAATAAATAATTTTATTTATCATAAATTTATATATTAATTAATTTGTCTAAATTTACTATTAATTTCTTTCTGTTCCAGTCGCGCTGGCAGCATGTAGTCCATCTGCGGAGAGGCAAGAATACGACAGTGACGATACATTTGGATCTGAATCTCATCATTTTCATAATGTGGACGGGAACAGCGGTAAACAAGGATACAGTCAGGGCGCAGGATTACGAGCTATAGCCCAAGGATCGGCCGATCAAGCCAGCATAGCCGTTCAAAATCAGAAAAGTGCAGCAGAGCAGGCAGCCTATGTCGCTAAAAATACTTTAGCACAAGCTGCTAACCAAGTAAGTGTTTTTATTTTATGACCGATGTTATTCTATTTCAGTGACGTGGAATTTACGTGGTTTCCTATATTCACGTATGTATTCCTCTTGGTAATCTATAATAACTACTAGAATAATACTACAACGCATTGGCAAATGAATTAATTTATGTTTTCCTAATTACTATTATACGACTTTTAATGCCTTTTTGTCATTTACGATACCATTTCGTTAACCATCATCGCAATTCTAAATATACGACAGTAAAATTATTATTCACCTTACCGCGTAAGTACATCGTTGCGACATCTTTGGTCGGAGTACTACAGTACTAAGGCGCTCGGGATGCTACCGAAATGACCGCTGTCAGCTATTATTTATATATATTTTACGTAGAACATAGTACATAGTACAGATTTCAAAATAATAATCTTCAATATTATTAGGTATACAAATTTAATAGAAGGAATATTTAATAATGAAACATTTTAATTAAAAATATGTTTAATATAATATCTACTTTAATTTAATGATTCCAAATTAGTGTGAATTACCTGCGTTGGTTCTACTGAAATGGGATAAATACACTTGAGTTTTTATTGTGGTAGAAAGTAATGATATACGCATATTTTACTTTATTGACTGCTAAGGTGTTTGATAAGGGCGGTTTTAAGGCGAGTCTTCGGTGATTAAAGGGGCAGATTCATAGGTAGGTTTCACTGTTCCTTCAGCTTTTCTTAATTTTATTCTGACGCTGTTTGAGTTAATTCGTGTTGTATTAAAACTTCGGTTCCTCTCATAAATAATCTTTGTTAGTAATAGTTCAAAAATTCACGTATGAAACAAAAACATTTCCATTTGTCGAAACCCTTTGAGGTTTTTTTATGGCAAAATTTATTTCAAAATGAAACGTACAAATTTGATTTTGGGCATCTCATATAGGAAATTGGTCATGAAAAGAGACCCTATAAAAAATGTGACATGTACACGAAGAAAAAAAGCACGAAGGTATAACGAAAAACAAAAGAACTTGTATAGAAGTGTCGTACTGTTTTTAGGCTTCTGCCACAGCCCAAGCAGCATTAGCAGGCAAACAGGTAATTCTTCAAGGCATAGAACAGCAATTACAAGATGCCCAAACGGCACTGGAAGGTGAAGAGCAGCAGTTGCAACAAGCTCAGAGATCAGCAGCCGTGGCTCAACAAGCTGCACAGCAGGCAATGCACCACGTTAACGTACTAACAGCCGCTTTGAACGCTGCTCAAGCCACCTCAGACCAAGCAGCCCAAGCTGCATCTGAAGCAGCAGGAGAATTAGGCGCTCAAACAGCGATGATCGGTGCAGCGAAGCAGAGGGTTGCAACGTTGGCAGAACAACTGCATGGTGCGCGAATTGATTACGAGGCAACGCTTGCAGCTGCACAAAGAGCACTTCAGGCTGCACAGCTAGCACAACACAACGCTGCAGAAGCTGCAGCTATAGCTGCCAGTGGACTTAACAAACCACCCCAGCCTCTTCCGCCACCACCACCTCCACCACCAATATCTGGCAAAGGTGGTGCTGGTGTACAAGTCGGCCATAACGAATTATATTCCATTTCCGCGGAAGGTTATTCCGGCTATCATCGTTATTAATAATGACATTAGATAAACATATAACGATTATATTTTTTATTTTGCTTTTTAAGTGTATATGACTTTTGTAAATTTAATAAAATATTATTCTACTCTGATTAACTAAGAAATCCACCACCAAAAAAAAGTGAAAAGCGAGCAATCATCTTTGAAGAAATGTTTTTCGCACAGAACGTCGTAAAGACACCTGGAAAAATACAATTTTATTAATTAAAATTCAGTGATTAAGATGATGTAATATCTGTTAAACAGAGATTACCGTTGAATAGATGATAAATAAATATATTTATCCATTGAAGGAGACATCAACTAATTAAATTAAAAAAGTTAGAAAGTATATATGAAGTGCTTTTTAGAAGTTAAAATTACAATTGAGCCTCGGATCACTGGTGAAATTTGGAAAATTACAAGTTTTACTTTAAACTGATTATATTATTAGAGAGAGCTTTGCGACGACAGAATATTAAGTTAATAAGGAGTAATGATTTAATTCTTGAATAACTTAAACTGCATGGCAATCGTAATTTTGATTTAATCAAATTAAAAAGATAAATAAGAGAATAAAGTAAAAAACTGTTGGATTTTATTTTTTATAGCGAATAAAGCTGTAGCAGTTTAGCCAAATTAAATTACTTTAAAATTATAATTTTTGTATCAGAATTCAGACAAATTGTTTTTTTATTACTTTTTTGAAATATTTTTATAGGGATACGGTAATGTTTTTGTATTTGGCATATTTTCCAACATCCTCCCAAAAAAAAAACAATTTATGGTCTTACAACGAGACATATGAGATGCAAAAATGTTAAATAACTGTCATAAGTAGAACTGTATGAATTTATTAGTTAACGTTTAATCAGTTTTTTTACAAAACTGCGTAAGCACGTCAATATTTGCCAATCTTTTTACTGGTAATAAATCAAAAAATGCATTTATAGTTAGTAACGAATAATAAAGTCCAAATGTGTGAGAAATTTATCAAAAATTATATTTAATTTGTAACTGAATATTAATTTTTTTTAATGTTTATAAAAATTCTCAAAAAAGATTTATTTGTAATAGAAATTCGAAAAAGTTCGTGAGTATATGGCAATATGTTTCATTGTCTTCACAAAAAAAATATTTTAATGTTTATGAGACAAAATATAATAGTCAACGTAAAGGAATAACAATACGTAGAGATATAAAGAAATAAAGATGTAGTTAAAAATTATTTGAAATTTATAAAGAAATATTTATTACAGATTATACAACAAATTGCCGGCGATTGTCAGTTTAATCGATTTAATGGGTTTTTGTTATAGTGGTAAATTTGACTGGAGGAATATGTAAATTCGGCCGGTTTGTAGTCAAGTAACACTAAAAACATTTTAATTGTCAAATGCGGATGATATTAAATAGATCTCTTGCAGTAGGGGTAGGCGGTACTTGACAATTTGTTGATAAAATAATCTAAACAAGGTATCAGTATACTAGTTATACTTTCACTAATTTTATGCATTGATATTTTAAACATTATCAAGCGTGCATCACATGCAATCAAATAGGAAATTGCAGTAATGTATATTAAAAATTATTTTATCTGAAAGTGGAAAAGAAATTCTAGTTTTGGGCAATCGTAGGTACAATTTTCGGGAAAAAATAAAAACTTAATGAAAAATGGAGATGTAAAAAAAGCATACTGATAATTATATCTATTAATTAAAGAGACTGCTATTTTCTTAGATAAAGTTTTGTCTATGTATTCCTTATATTTGAATTTCAATAACTAATATATAAAGCAGTATATAGAATGGAATGTTTCTGCAAAAAAAAATACATAAAGGTAATTTTTTCGACCGAATTTACTCAATCATCGGCACATGTGTAGAAAAAGGTCAACTTTTTCTACCTGCCGTAATTGCATAAGGATAATAATGCCTAAGGCAGTAAAAAACTAATGAAAACATAAAAAGGCGAGTAGCGTAAGTGCCTAACTTTGGAGAAAAAAATTACAATTTGTATTAGGTATTTTTAAAATCCTAAACAGGAAGTTAGTTGGTCAATAATTTGCATATAGGTATTATATTCGGTTGTCTAACTTTCTAATAAAAATGCACAGGAATAATAATGGCGAAGGAATAAATGAAAGTCAGAAAATAATTTTCTAATATATTTATAAAAAACATAAAAAGTCTGATATCCAACAAAATATGAAACGAGAAACTTCCCATTTGATAAATACAAACCATGTAGCAAAACGACTAACAAACATACAAAAGTGTATAAAAGTAATATAAAAACAATACACTAGTAATAAAAACTTTACATTCAAGATAAAAAAAATATAGTTCTACTTTGGTGCTAGAATATCGACATTTTCCAGATAAACAGTGGTGGAGTGGTTATAAAGTCAACAAGTAGGTTTTGAAACAATTGACTATTCTATATGACGGGCTTTACCCAATATTGCACTAACGGTAACTACAAGACATAAACCGAGCCTAATCGAAAACTCGGTTCAGTTAACATCGCATTGTCGAAACTTACATTAAAATATACCTATCGAACTAAATTGTTGTTCGAAAAAGTTATAAAAGTAAAAATATACTTGAATTTTTCTTTTAATAAATATACCGCTCGATAATAAAAATTTATTTAATAAGGAAATTAATTACTTACCATAAATAATTAATAATATATGCATCTATTACATTTTTGTTTTATGAAACAAATTCATTTATAGTTTAGCATAATATTATAAAAAAAATGAATGGTACAACTATTAAACAACATCTAAATTTAAAGAACAGATTAAAGTAGGTAGCATTTTTATTGCAATTGTTAGATAAAACGTTTGATCTAAAGAATATGCTATGTGTTTCACTTCAGACTAATGAACCTACGCCCAGGAGGCGAGCAAATATATAAACAGTAGAAAAAGGAGTGTAAATCTTTACAAATCATATCAATACATATTTGTACCATGTCGCAGATGGTTCCCATCTAGCGCGGTGGCCACAGCACAGAATCAACCACATTTTCCTTTGTGTCTCTTTGTGCCTAGTAGCCTACTGCAATTTTATCGCTCCGCGCCTTTTTTTTTTTTGTTTTAACTATTCTCCTAAGATTACCTAGGAAATTTATTAATCAATTCGTTAATTACGGGTAAAGATAAAACTCTGCTGCGCCAAGCGGAGACTGCTCAGGGCGTTATTGCATACATCAAACTTCACTAATTACCGTTATAACAGTTTAGTATAAAAATTCAAATTTAAAATATACATAATCTCCTAATGAACCTCCACATGTTCACTTCTGGCCCACGTCCGTTTTTAGATAAGTTTATCGAATCGAACCATTCAACATTTTTTCTTTTTTTTTTTTTTAAATTTAATTTAATAACAAATTCTTATAAATAGTCAAAATTGCAACATACAATTACATAGGTACATCGCGAATATCCAAAAATATTTTGTCGAAATTTAACAAATCGTTAATAGTAATTCGTAAAAGAATATATGATGTGCTCCTTAAAATTAAAACAGCTGATAAACATTATCTAGGCGGTTACACAACTAACCTTGAATTTTAATAGACATTGACAAATCTTGTCAATTACTATATAGTTTTTTAAAAAACAGCCTGGCGATCTTCTTAAAAACCTACTGTATAGCATGTATTATAATAATTAATTCAACCACAGAGCTCACGCGTAAAAAGATACAGTCGGTAGCACAGTTTTTTTTCTTTTTCAGCAACTTCAATATTTCTTTAATTTAAATAAAATTCATTATATTATTATTTATAGAATGCCCTATTCCGTAAAAACTGAGCGGAATACGACAAATAAAAGTTACAAATAAATAAATAGATATTTTTTCCCTTTTTCAAATTAGAACTTTCCGGTAGGTGATAANCTCGCGACTAACGTTTATATAAAATATTTAAGCGACTGCGTTCAATAAATAATTTAATTGTTAGATGAATCAATTAAAGAAGAATTACGCCTGTTTATCGACAAATAAGAAAGTTAAAATAATAAGAAAGTTTTCTCTATCCTATGACTACAGTATTAAAGCTTGTTTTTTTTTTTTTTTAAGTAGTATAGTACGAAAAGTTTCGGTAATTCTCGTTAGTAATTAATTAGCAAAATCTACTACAAATATTCTTCAAACCGGCTGAAGTTGTTTTTTATTTGAATGAATCGGTCGATTTGTAAGTGATCATGTGAAGGAAATTCATTGAATACATTAAGACGTCTATGATATCACACACCAAATAAGGGATGTTAGGAATACATGAGGACAATAAGCAAAGCAGCGGTTTTTGGGTAGAAGACGGGAGCAGACTGGTCAGGTACTTGGGGCTAAATACAGGGTCGAATTTAACGTTGAAATGAGATGCGGACCCTTAAAATATTTACTTCTTTTGACTTACGTTCTACCACCCATAAAACATTTAAAGAGCAGAAAATAAAGACTTTGCAAAGGTAACGTCCCAGGCATCATCGCTGTCCCCTTAAGTCCGACCCTGTCTAAGTGTTTTGCCGCAAGGGAGAGCTAGCTCCCTTTACTTTCTGCACAGCGCTATAGATTAGACTAGTATTTACAAATACCCTGAAGTTAAAAAAAAAAAGAAAACAAAACGTTCTCCAAATCTCGTAAAACGAACATACGACATCCTTCTGTGCAGGTGAAAGGGGGGTCTACGAGGTATGTCAATAAACAAATGAGACTCGATTTCAAGTAGTAAAATTGCCTTGCAAAAGTTTAAGAATAAAACAAATAAATTAGAATTATTTTAAAATGTTTTTCAAAAATAGCATTTCGATTATTAATCCCCGATCTAATCAAGAGAAGGCACACCTTTGCTCTCATTTTTTCACGTTTTCATAAGAATAAACGTGTTTGGCAACCGTTGGGGGGTCCATGTCTTTTCAAAAAGTGCGTCAGAAACTGAAAGAAGTCAACGTCTGTCTCAGTATTTTAGTGTCACACCTCGTATTTCACATTGAACAAGGTAAAAAAGACAAACGTCGCCTGATATACATCATAACTGTTCTTAATCATTTCCCTATCGTCAGGCGTCTTATTTAAAGAAGATAACTGGTTACATATGTATTTAAATATGTATAAATTGCTACTATAGAATTATGCCTATGCAAAAAATAGCATGCCGTCTGTGGTAAAAAAAAGCCAAAACCGACGGCAGCCATACTAAGCGCTCCTGCGTTAACACCAGCGGAAGGGTACTGCTCGGGGCCTGTCTGCACCCTCTTTTACTAAAGGCTTATGAAACTCACGACCAGGCCTTGAGTGGATAGTTGCCCAACAGTGTTCACAATAATACTACAAATTAAATTAACACATTCGACATTAATTCATTTACCTTTCTTAGTTTCTTTCTCGTCGTCGCAGCGACTATAGAATTTAATTTATTGAATCGCCTTTTTCTTTTGTTCGTTTAAAACTAAATCGTCGAGTACAATTAATTTGTTCTTCACAAGGAAGTTTAATCATTACTAGAGCGTAAAAAGCAAAATTACTTCTTGAATTGTATTACAAAACAATTTTTTCCAAGAGTTTACTTATTATTTATCTACCAGCAAACGAATTATTATTGAAAATCACTCGTAAAAGTTACTACTTCTTGTTTAATTAAATAAAATCGATTAACTGCTTTTTCTTTTTTGCAAATTGATCGTTCAAGCGACGAAATACTTTTAGATAATAATAAAATCTCGTAAGATTGAAAACATTTCCAGACTACTAAACTGAAGTTGTTTAAATTCCTTTTTGACAAAATTCATCAGAGCCCAAAATGTTAACCGGATGTACTCAAACAACATAAAAAATTGGAAGAGCTAAATGGTGCTTTTTGATTTTGAATCGTTTACGTACATACCTGCAAACATGTGACATTTGCACAAAAGAAAGGTGCAAACTTCCCACCGCAGCGTTGTCCCTGGCATTCATCACACATTTGGTCATCTAGTACGTATGGCTTTACTTCGACTCGTTTGTCTATATCACCATGTTGTAACTGCACAAATCGTGCACTAATGGCTGCAATATAACTCTGCTGGTTACTAAATGCAACCCTTCCAGCTCCTTTAGGATATTTCAGTTCGGGATCCGTGTCTATGCCTGCATAGCATACGCCTCCATACAACCGATCCATTATCATGGCTAGTTCAACTAAAAACAACGAATCTTTTTTTATTGAGAGGCATAACTTTTAGGGTTCTACGGCAAAAGGACATAAACTGAACATGTAAGTAAGCATACGGTAAGGAACCTGAAGAAATTGAAAAACTCTTTATTTTGTGATATTGAAACGTTTGGCTTTAAACTTTACTTGAATCCAAAAAGGACTTATTATGTTAAATGTTATTGAAAAGAACATTCTCACTGGAAAAAACAAGTTTAAGGGTTCCACAGTGAAACGACAAAAACTGAATTTGAAAATGATGATGATGCGGAAAGGAACCTAAAATGATTGGAAACTCTTTATTTTATGATGTTCCAGCGTTGAGAATTTTGATTTTAGTGAAATAGAAGCTTAAAAATTGAATTTGTGAGTGAACACGGAAAGTAACCGGAAGGATTGGAAACGATTTATGATGTTAAAGCGTTTGGCTTCTAGCTTTATTTTAATCCTAATAGAACCTTATTACGTCAAATATTTCACTGAGAAACACACGTTTTAATGTTCCACACCAAATCGATAAATTCAAAAAAAAAACCTGGAAGGATTGGAAACGATTTATGATATTGAAACGTTTGGCTTCTAGCTTTATTTTATATCCACGAAACGAACATTTTCACTGAGAAACACAACTTTTAGGGTTCCACAGCAAAACGACAAAAATTAAATTTGTAAATGATTACCCTGAAAGAATCCTGAAAAGATTGGACATTATTTTGTGATGTTGAAGCGTTCAGGTTTTTGGTTTATTTTAGTGAAATGGAAGCTCAAAAATTGAATTTGTGAGTAATCACGCAAAAAGGATTAGATTATTGTAATGTTGCGGTTTTCGGGTTTTAGCAGTAAGTTACTCCAAAAAGATCCTTATTACGTCAAATATTAACGAAACGAGCATTTTCACTAAGAAACACAAGTTTTAACCGACAAAAATTGAAATCGGAAATTAACCTCGAAGTACTGGAAACTCTTTATTTAATGATGTAAAGCGTTTCGCATTTAGCTTTATTTGAATCCAAACAAAACCTTATTATGTCAATTATTAATAAAACAAACTAACGCAAGTTTAAGGGTTCCACTCCAAACCGACAAAATTTGATTTTGTGAGTGATGACATGGGAGGGGATTGTGAGGGATTGGAAACTATTTATTTTGTAACGTTGCAGCGTTGGGATTTTAATTTTATTTGGGTCCAAAAAGAACCTAATTACGTTAAATGTTACTGAAACAAACATTTTTAGTTAGAAATGCAAGTTTTTGTGTTTTACACCAAACCGATAAAAAATGAATTTGTGAGTGATCACAGGGAAAGTAACCAGTAAGGATTGGGAATAAATATTTTGCGATGTCGAAGAGATTTTAGGTTTATTTCAGCCCGAACAGAACCGTAATATGTAAGGTATTAATAAAACGAAAATTTTTATTGAGAAACAACTAAATCTGCTAGTAAGAAGTCAGAGTAGCTTCATTAATTAATGTTCCATTAAGATTTGAATAATGTGATTTTGAAGCCCCTTTCGAAAATTTAATTTTCAGTCATTTGAAAAGTACCTACCTGCCTTTTCGAAACAATCTATAAACTCTTACAGGAAAACTGAAGAAAGCTTTCAATTAATGAAATTTATAAACTGTTACGAAATCTGAAAAGTGTGCATATCCGAGACGCAATTGTCCGTTTTAGTTTTATCGAGTACAAATAAAGGGCAAAAAGAAACATTTGAAATTTGCTGCTAGTCTTGTAACTTGCCTGCCTTCAGTGGACGTGGTACTCCTCCAACAAATACAGTCTTTCGGGGGTCTAAAGGCATCGAAGCATCTAAAACGAAATCAGCATCGGAAAGTCTCCATGGCCGAATTTGAACGGGCTTGTCTTTAATGGTAGGTGAAGAGACACAAAGATATAATTTATCTTCGTCGGTGATGCAGGCGTCAATTAAACTTTGTACAGAATTTTCGTCCTAAAATTAAAAACATGTACATCGTCTGTATATAAGCAATAAGTATCAAGAAAGTTTTTTTTTTATACTACGCATTGTACGATAATAATATGGAAAGCATTATGACTTTTTTTACTACGGTAAACGTTATCTTGTTATTAACCCACGTTCTATTGTAGATTTATATAGGCCAGTCCACTTTAGGTTTCATTAACTTCGTTAAACACCGGGGCAATATTATTGCTGCTCGACAAAATGTGATTACAGTATCCCCTTAACTGCCAGGATGGTCTTATTTATTTCTAAATTAACTTGACGCCTTTTAGGGTGTAAAATATAATGTAATAGGTTGTTTAAATAACCCACCTATCGTCGTGAATGCTTTTTAACTTATACACGATATAATATAATTTAAAGGGCAGGTAGATAAATGTAATAGTATATATATATATATAAAAGAACTCACCTGAAATAGCAAAAACGCATACCCCTTTGGTGGAAAATAGGATTTGCTTTCGGCTTTGTGTGGCCAATCGACTACGAGTGGTCCAAATCGTCTAAAACTTGCTGTTATTTCATCTTCATCGATGTCAGGTGGCAATCCACCGACAAAAACTTTCCTGGAGAATCTTTCTCCTCCCTCAGAACCTTGCGAATGCGGGGATGATCTAGATGGAGAACTTAGGGGTTGGGTACTTAGGGTACTATCTGCAAGATGACTAGGCTCTTCTAACAGTACTGTCCCGGCTTGGTCATCCAATCCAGGGAAATACGGAGCTTTCCCTAAAAAATTCATTTCTTCTTCACAACGTCTTACGTCAGCAATTATACAATATTAAATTCCGTAGGACATTTATAGTCATTCGTACTTTAAATGTTTTAAAACAAATGAATTAAACATTAAATATTATTATAAATAAAAACTAGAAGGTAAAGCTTACTGGAATGTATATTGATTTTTGTCATAGTCTAAAAAAATTAAAATAAGTTTAAGGTGTGTGGTACTGTCCTTTATAAGAAACGCTTGCGCCAGCACATGTTCTTCAAAGGGCAATGGCATGTTAGCACGTGCGTTAACAACTCGCTACATTTTCTATATCATTAATGCCAACGACTAAAAATGTGCACAATCCATGTGATTAATTATTATTTTTTTGTTTAAATGTGCGAAGACTTCATTGACTTGTTAATTAACCGTTTTTTTTTTTCATGACGTTAGGTCACAATATTTTACACAATATAATATTGACACGATTTCATATAAAATTTAGAAAGCAGTACAGTTTGTGCAATATGATTTGAGTAGCCAAACCAACGTGCTAATCATTACATATTTACTCTTTGCTATCTACCACTTGTTTTAGGTATTTGTGTAGTTTTCCGATGTTAATTTATTAATTACCTAATATTTCCAAGGTTTTAATACTTACCATGTAACTGCGTTAGAGACTGAAACGCACTTGTGTTGCAATTTATGAAACCTGAAAATAAGGGACAACTATTAGTGAAAATGTTAAATTAGGGTTGCAGGTTGTCAGGAAGTTGTAATTTTCAGGAAATAGGTACAGGTTGGTTCGCAGTAAATAGTTGATGGCATTCAGTGTAACCTTAATAAGGAACATCCTTATTTTATCTAATTGTACATGCCATGTACATGTGTAATACATAAATATAATATTATAGCTTGTTTGGTTAAGTAGATAGATATACAAGAGAAATATTAACAACAAATGTCAACAACAACAACATACCTACTACAGTAGATTTTTATTCATTATTGCATAACTTTAAAGTGGATCTGTTTTTAAGTTTTAACGCGTTAGGACAAGTATTTTTTTATAATGATTTTAGAATTATTATAAAGTATAATCGTAATATATACAAATTACGTGTCACGTTGTTTGTCCGCAATGGACTCCTAAACTACTTCACCGATTTTAATCAAATTTGTACACCGTGTGCAGTTTGATTCAACTTGAAAGATAGGATAGCTTAAATCTCAATTTATGATCGCAATAGTATATAAAGTAAGGGAGTTTGGTCACGGTGGGTGGACGTGGGTGGCGAAAATGTGAAAAAATACATATCTGCCCCTTTCTAACATATGAGACCTTTTGGAAAGTTCTAAAAATTTCTGAAATGATCCAGAAAACTCCAGAATGTGTGCAACTGTTACAATCGATCTAGAATGTTCTAGAAGGTTCTAAAAATTTCTGGAATGATCTAGAAAGTTCCAAATTGTGTGCAACGGTTAAAATCGATATGCAATTTTCCAAAAAGTTTTAGAAATATCTGGAGTGATTTGGACAGTTCCAAATATCCGCAATTAATTATCAAAGATTTCTAGAATTTTCTAGATTTTGTCCAAATATTCTAGAATATTCTAGAACGATCTACTATTATTAAGAAGTTTTATAAACGTACAGGGTGGTATCTAAGATAGAAATGTATTATTATATTATTTTAATCAGAGCAACGCCGGGTTTCGCTGCTACTTGATATTCTATAATTCTATATCTGTTTTACAGATGCTTGATGAAGTCTAAATAAAAAAGTCGAAACGTTGCCGAATCAATAAATTAGTGGTTTAATATTGTCCCTTCATATTCCTGCTACGTATTTTATGTATTAGAATTATTTTCTAAAAAGGCATGTAGTTTTATTTTTTCACCTATATTACAAACTTTAACAATAAATAACTACACGTCAGATAACATTATCTATCACAATTTTGTTTGGAGGTCTACGCGACATGTATATGACTAAATCTGCTAGTAAGAAGTCAGAGTAGCTTCATTAATTAATGTTCCATTAAGATTTGAATAATGTGATTTTGAAGCCCCTTTCGAAAATTTAATTTTCAGTCATTTGAAAAGTACCTACCTGCCTTTTCGAAACAATCTATAAACTCTTACAGGAAAACTGAAGAAAGCTTTCAATTAATGAAATTTATAAACTGTTACGAAATCTGAAAAGTGTGCATATCCGAGACGCAATTGTCCGTTTTAGTTTTATCGAGTACAAATAAAGGGCAAAAAGAAACATTTGAAATTTGCTGCTAGTCTTGTAACTTGCCTGCCTTCAGTGGACGTGGTACTCCTCCAACAAATACAGTCTTTCGGGGGTCTAAAGGCATCGAAGCATCTAAAACGAAATCAGCATCGGAAAGTCTCCATGGCCGAATTTGAACGGGCTTGTCTTTAATGGTAGGTGAAGAGACACAAAGATATAATTTATCTTCGTCGGTGATGCAGGCGTCAATTAAACTTTGTACAGAATTTTCGTCCTAAAATTAAAAACATGTACATCGTCTGTATATAAGCAATAAGTATCAAGAAAGTTTTTTTTTTATACTACGCATTGTACGATAATAATATGGAAAGCATTATGACTTTTTTTACTACGGTAAACGTTATCTTGTTATTAACCCACGTTCTATTGTAGATTTATATAGGCCAGTCCACTTTAGGTTTCATTAACTTCGTTAAACACCGGGGCAATATTATTGCTGCTCGACAAAATGTGATTACAGTATCCCCTTAACTGCCAGGATGGTCTTATTTATTTCTAAATTAACTTGACGCCTTTTAGGGTGTAAAATATAATGTAATAGGTTGTTTAAATAACCCACCTATCGTCGTGAATGCTTTTTAACTTATACACGATATAATATAATTTAAAGGGCAGGTAGATAAATGTAATAGTATATATATATATATAAAAGAACTCACCTGAAATAGCAAAAACGCATACCCCTTTGGTGGAAAATAGGATTTGCTTTCGGCTTTGTGTGGCCAATCGACTACGAGTGGTCCAAATCGTCTAAAACTTGCTGTTATTTCATCTTCATCGATGTCAGGTGGCAATCCACCGACAAAAACTTTCCTGGAGAATCTTTCTCCTCCCTCAGAACCTTGCGAATGCGGGGATGATCTAGATGGAGAACTTAGGGGTTGGGTACTTAGGGTACTATCTGCAAGATGACTAGGCTCTTCTAACAGTACTGTCCCGGCTTGGTCATCCAATCCAGGGAAATACGGAGCTTTCCCTAAAAAATTCATTTCTTCTTCACAACGTCTTACGTCAGCAATTATACAATATTAAATTCCGTAGGACATTTATAGTCATTCGTACTTTAAATGTTTTAAAACAAATGAATTAAACATTAAATATTATTATAAATAAAAACTAGAAGGTAAAGCTTACTGGAATGTATATTGATTTTTGTCATAGTCTAAAAAAATTAAAATAAGTTTAAGGTGTGTGGTACTGTCCTTTATAAGAAACGCTTGCGCCAGCACATGTTCTTCAAAGGGCAATGGCATGTTAGCACGTGCGTTAACAACTCGCTACATTTTCTATATCATTAATGCCAACGACTAAAAATGTGCACAATCCATGTGATTAATTATTATTTTTTTGTTTAAATGTGCGAAGACTTCATTGACTTGTTAATTAACCGTTTTTTTTTTTCATGACGTTAGGTCACAATATTTTACACAATATAATATTGACACGATTTCATATAAAATTTAGAAAGCAGTACAGTTTGTGCAATATGATTTGAGTAGCCAAACCAACGTGCTAATCATTACATATTTACTCTTTGCTATCTACCACTTGTTTTAGGTATTTGTGTAGTTTTCCGATGTTAATTTATTAATTACCTAATATTTCCAAGGTTTTAATACTTACCATGTAACTGCGTTAGAGACTGAAACGCACTTGTGTTGCAATTTATGAAACCTGAAAATAAGGGACAACTATTAGTGAAAATGTTAAATTAGGGTTGCAGGTTGTCAGGAAGTTGTAATTTTCAGGAAATAGGTACAGGTTGGTTCGCAGTAAATAGTTGATGGCATTCAGTGTAACCTTAATAAGGAACATCCTTATTTTATCTAATTGTACATGCCATGTACATGTGTAATACATAAATATAATATTATAGCTTGTTTGGTTAAGTAGATAGATATACAAGAGAAATATTAACAACAAATGTCAACAACAACAACATACCTACTACAGTAGATTTTTATTCATTATTGCATAACTTTAAAGTGGATCTGTTTTTAAGTTTTAACGCGTTAGGACAAGTATTTTTTTATAATGATTTTAGAATTATTATAAAGTATAATCGTAATATATACAAATTACGTGTCACGTTGTTTGTCCGCAATGGACTCCTAAACTACTTCACCGATTTTAATCAAATTTGTACACCGTGTGCAGTTTGATTCAACTTGAAAGATAGGATAGCTTAAATCTCAATTTATGATCGCAATAGTATATAAAGTAAGGGAGTTTGGTCACGGTGGGTGGACGTGGGTGGCGAAAATGTGAAAAAATACATATCTGCCCCTTTCTAACATATGAGACCTTTTGGAAAGTTCTAAAAATTTCTGAAATGATCCAGAAAACTCCAGAATGTGTGCAACTGTTACAATCGATCTAGAATGTTCTAGAAGGTTCTAAAAATTTCTGGAATGATCTAGAAAGTTCCAAATTGTGTGCAACGGTTAAAATCGATATGCAATTTTCCAAAAAGTTTTAGAAATATCTGGAGTGATTTGGACAGTTCCAAATATCCGCAATTAATTATCAAAGATTTCTAGAATTTTCTAGATTTTGTCCAAATATTCTAGAATATTCTAGAACGATCTACTATTATTAAGAAGTTTTATAAACGTACAGGGTGGTATCTAAGATAGAAATGTATTATTATATTATTTTAATCAGAGCAACGCCGGGTTTCGCTGCTACTTGATATTCTATAATTCTATATCTGTTTTACAGATGCTTGATGAAGTCTAAATAAAAAAGTCGAAACGTTGCCGAATCAATAAATTAGTGGTTTAATATTGTCCCTTCATATTCCTGCTACGTATTTTATGTATTAGAATTATTTTCTAAAAAGGCATGTAGTTTTATTTTTTCACCTATATTACAAACTTTAACAATAAATAACTACACGTCAGATAACATTATCTATCACAATTTTGTTTGGAGGTCTACGCGACATGTATATGTGTAAGTGTATAGTCTACATATGTATTTTTTTTTGTGGATGGTCTTTTATATCATCAATTTATCATGTTTTGTAAATGCTTTTCCTTTTGATACCATCTTCTTTGTACGTCTGTACATATTACAATCTTTATACATGTGTCTGTGTTGGGTTAAAGGTGAATAGTTCCTGACATAAACGGATAGGTATAAGGAAATCAAAAGAATTAACATATTTCAAAAATTGAATGAAAATCGAATAATGCCTATATTGCAATAAATTCCTACATTCAATCCCTTCTAGGCGTTTCTGAAAGTCGTGTTAATATGGTTTCAAAATCGGCTAAAGTTTTTAGCTGATTATAGTATCGCAATGAGTAGGTCATGTTATAACTAAAGATTCGCAAAATGGTTTTTTAAAAGTATTTAAATACAAAATGCAAATACTTTTTTGATATTAAACAATAAGAGAATGAAATAGAATCCATAGTTTCTCTAGCTTTAAGTTCATCCATTAATTGAAGTTTTTCGAATCGTTTTCTAAACATTTTGGATTATAAGCATTTATTAGCACATCACAGTATCTTGTAATTTTCAGTTTTACACAGCTGGCATATATCAATTCGATATTGTTTTGCGGACTGTTTCGTCGTAATTCATAGAATTTAGTAGTTTCTTGCTAAAAGTACGATAAGTGGTGATTTAGCAGGTGCTGATATCAATTTGGAACTTCAAAATTCCATGGACCATGACATTGAACCCGGAAAACAATATCGATCCAATATTTTAGATTATCCAATCTCAAGGAGTTTAGAATTTTTTGAGCTCTCNGATCAGAACCAAAATAGGGTTGCAAATAATTTTATTGATGTAAAATTAACATCAATCATTTAATATCAAAATATTTACAAGCCCATTTTGTTTCCGATCTTTTACACATTGTAATAAGAGAAAGAAATGAAATCCATAGTTTCTTTAGCTTTGGCTTCATCTAATAAGTAAAGTTTTTCGATCGTTTTGGAGTATATGCATTTATTAGCACACCACAGTTAAAGAATTAGAAGGCATTCATGGAATGTCTCTTTGTTGCCTTTTTAAGCTTCTAATACCTTCATTAGCCAATGTGAGCAACTTTCATTCATCATTTTGTATATTATTTGATCGGTGATATTAGCAAAACTTTTAACGGCGAAAACGTATTTTGCATTTTGCAAATAGAAAATACGTTTGGAAAAATATTTCAAATAAAATACAAACTGCTTTTTTCAAAAAGTATTTAAATGCAAGATAAAAATAGGTATTTTTATTTCCGGCCTGGTACCAGATAATGACGCTGGATAAAAATTGAATTGAGATAGGTCGTTTTCATCAGTATGGCGGAACTGTTACAATTTCTGTCGCTTGTTGGATTGTAAGGTTTTGATTAACGATAACTTATTAATATGTTTTTATCACCTTGCAGATTTTTAATGTTTATAAGCATTATAGGATGGTTTCAACTAGACCTTTTCGTTGTAAATTGCCAACCAAGAAAATTAAAATTTTATTAGTTCAGTGTTTAAAACGACTCTTTGATGAGGGTGGCATGATATTTAATGGAAAGGTTTAACGGTAAAACCACTATCCATAAAAACCTACTGTTTCATTTTTAAAAATTACGGTGTATGTCCTAATCGAGGAACCCAATTCATATTTTTTTAACCTACGGTTATATGTCTCCCTTCTAAGTGAAATAGCAAATTATTAGTAATGGCTACGATATCGACAACGGTAACAGTTTTTATTTAACTAATAAAATATTCAGTTTAAGGGCGCTCTAAACAATGAATTGAAAAATCATTTTACCACAATAGGTGCCTTCAACGATTTTCTTGTAATTTTCGTTAAATTACACACCCACGAAGCAATACAAATATAAATCGACAGGAAAAACTATTTAATTCTACTGCTATATAGGAAAACATATTTCATAAAAAATTGATACACACATGCATGACCTGGATTTTGTCTGAACTCGATAATGTGAAATCGATTATTAGTCTCGAAGGAAAACGGTAGTTTTTATATGATAAACACACAATTACATACAAATAAAGAACGGGTAAACCTACCCGTAACATATCTATACACATATACCTAAACAATAATATTGATTGGATTTTAGAAAACACCTTAAACACAAGTTTTAAATTAAGCATTAGTTATTAATTTAAGGTTAAATAATTACTAAACAGTGTGACACAGAAATTTTTAAAAAACCTAGAAATGAATTAAATTGTTGGTCATCATCATAAGGCCTTTAGTCGTAAGACAGGCACCTCCACTTTTTCCTATCTTAAGCTAATTTTCGCACTTCCCTAAAACAGTAATCTAACCAAGTTCTACCTCTACTCCTCTTAACTCCTGTTGCTTCTTATATGTCTCTGACTAGCCCTTCATACCTGAGAAAGTGTCCTACCAACCTATCTGTCATCTGTTCTCCTATTCTTTGTAATACCTCTTCATTTCTAACCTTCTCTGTCCACAGCATCCTCATCATTTGCCTGTAACATCCCATTTCGAACGCTTCTTGACCCTGTGCTCTTCTCTGTTTTATATATCTACTGCTCCATCCATCCTGACTTATCTGACTTACCGTATATCGAAAATTAGCTACTTCTTCTAATTATTCGCCTCCTATCTTTATATTTGCTCTTTCCCTACTTTTTCTTTCCTTTAATACCAGTATTTCCGTTTTACTTTTATTTCTGTTCATACGATACTGTTTTGTCAATACCGCTTCCAATTTATTTAAGGCTATCTCTAGCTCCTCCTTGCTAGACGCTAATACTGCTGTATCATCGGCAAATCTAAGCATGCGCTAATCTTTTGCTCCTGTATATCTATCCCTACAGTTGTCCTGTTTTTAATGATGTCAACATTTTCTTCGGTGTATCTCTCTATCTCATTCCTACATTTTGAAGTTTATTTAACATCTTGTCCCGTTCAACATTGTCAAAAGCTTTTTCTAAATCTACAAACCCTATGTACGCACCGTTTCCTTTTTTCTATAATTTTCTCTATTGTTACCCGTAAAAATAGAAGCGTTCCTCCATTTCTTCTAAACCCAAATTGATGTTCCCCTAATAGTTCTTCCGTCCATTTCTCCATCCTCCTCTGTACAATTCTAGTTAAGATTTTTGACGCATAAGAAGTTAAGCTAATTGTTCTAAATATATTGCACCTATCCACGCCTTTCTTTTTAGGTATGGTTACTAACACGTTCCGTTTATAATCCTCCTGGGCTTTCCCCTTTTGTAAATATGACTAACTAGTCTAAACTTATGATCTCTAACCGCTTGTCCTACATTTTAATGCTTCATCAAATTCTTCTCTCATTATTGGATAACCTAGCTCATCTATCCACACTATCTTCCTTCTGTAATGTATCTCCTAACTTTCTCTAAATATTCTTTCCACCTATCCGCCTTTTCCTCATTTTCTAACAAAATGACCCCTGCTTCGTTTCTTATATTATTACTACTGTCTAGAATTCCTTTTAACTGTTGGTAAAATTTTAAATTTTTAATTTGTTTCACTAAACGATTTAAATATACTCATCTAATTTTTATTTTTATATAATAGTTTAACCTTTTTTGACATACTGTTTTGATAAATAATAATTTTTAATTTTGAGAATTTTTAGAATTAGACAGATCGTAATAGTAAGTACCATATATACGAGGGTGGATTGATAAGTTTCC